CCTCTTGCAAGACAGTAGCAATGGAGACGAAAAGTGAGGAGAATCTCGAGACGCTTTTAAAGCATAAAACCGAAGAAGCTGCAAGTGCGATAAAGTTATACAAAATAAGATGGTTTATACTGCTGCTGTTCGTGCTTTATGCAGCGAGCAGCGCGATGCAATGGATCCAGTATTGTGTAATCAGTGATGTAATCATGAAATATTACGGCGTGTCAGCATTGGCCGTAGACTGGACCTCTTTGATTTCGATGGTGACATATCCACCTCTGATCATTCCTGGCTCATTCATCATTGATAAAATGGTAAACTGACGTGGGCGTATTCATTGAGAGACGGATTAATGTTGCTTCTTCCAGGGATTACGTGTTTGCGCCTTGCTTGGCGTCATCGGAACAACAATTGGAACATGGGTAAAAGTGTTCTCCGTTCAACCTCACTTATTTTGGGTGGGCTTCGCCGGTCAAACTATAGTCTTCGTTTCGCAAATATTCATACTCAGTTTACCACCCCGAATTGCATCGCTTTGGTTCGGTCCAAATGAGGTAACTTATCTTCGAGCACGTCTATGTATTTATTTATTAATCATTTCATTTAGGTATCACTGCGTGCTCCTTGGGTGTCTTCGGAACGCAATTAGGTACAGCTGTAGGTTTCATCGCTCCACCGTATATAGTTCAAAACAGTGATAATTTGGAGGAAATCGGGGATAGTCTGAGTCTGATTTTCAAAGCAGTCGCTTGGTATACGACACCCATTGCCATTTTGGTGATCCTGTGTAATACGCAGCCTAAATTAAGAGAGCGTTTCGAAAGTCGTAATAATTGATGTCGTTTAGATTTCAAATCGGAACCCGAGGTGGCACCCAGCCAAGCCCAACTTGATTTGCGCAGGAAGCATGTTACTCTCTTTATTAACTCAATTCAGTAACAATCAGATAACATAAAGCTTTACTTAATCCGTTTGGCCTTTAACTGTTAGCGTTTTGGTAAACATAAAAAACAACATTCATATTTTCCAGCGGAATCTTTTACATAATTGTTCAAACTTAAGTCAACTAGACTTAACATCACATCTACAATACTCCATTTAGATTTCATTAATTACATAATTATATTTATGATTTGAAAGTGAGAAATATACATTTTATCTTTCATTATTTCACTATTAAAAAAATACGGTTAGAAGTAAAATTAATAAATGCTTTAAGAAAACAAAAAAAGAACAACTAATATAATGCACGCAACTCTGAATTACCTTGCATGTAATGGATTGTATACTTATAGCACATAAGGTCTTATATAAATGAGGAATAATAAATTTATTTGTGAAAGCAGGAAATTCAATTAAAAGTAGAAGCGATATTATTTGAATAATGTGTAGTTTAATATTGATTAAAGCCTTTGTAAAACTATCTAAATATTTTATTAAATAACAAACTAATCAATAAATAAATCATTTTCTCTATTTGATTATATTCAAATTATAATCAAACAACAATAATATAATTTGCAGTAATTGTAAATATTAGAACTATTCTTATATTTTATGAATGTTTGACAAATCGTCTCCATACGAATTGTCTTGAGCTGAGAAAGCGTATAAGTTATCCATCCAATAATTACTTTTCTTCACTTTTTGTAAGCTATCAAACGGATAAAATAACCATATTTCAGTTTGTTTACAGTCTGTTTAAGAATCTGCCAAGTGAAAGAAGCTGTTAAAGAGATCTTTGTTTTCGTTTCAATTAAAATATTGTAAATATTTATTCCAGTCCGAAATAGATTGTTAATTACAGCTGCAATCGTCTGGATGATACATAATTAATTTTGAAGATTATTATTTGTATAATTTGAAAGATTTTGGTTAACGTATATATCTTTTATCCTGGAGCACTTTGTAAAATTGAAATTGCAACAGAACAGTTAAATCAATGCATATCGTGGTTAATTCGAGAAAAAAAAAAGTTTAATCGTATAAACGTATCGTTTTATAAGTACTGTTATTCATTTCCCGATCCCCTATGGCAGATTTATAATAGGTCATTGTCGACTTATATATGTTCATTATTGAGAATTATTGTCCCCATTTATAACTTGTTCTACATACCGATGGGTTTTAAGAATTTAATGGGAGACCAGCTTGTAAAATGTGCTCTCAATATAATATAGGAACAGCTCGGATTTATTACGGGCAAACCTATTACACCGGTCATGATTTGTGTTTGAATTTGCATTCTTGTGCATACGTATTTGTTCATATATCATAGATTTGTACGTTCTTTACCTTTGTTTACTTATTGTTATAATCATATAATATTTACAAATTTTGTTATAAACTTTAATCTTAATATAAACATTTTTTAATAGAATTATTTGAAAGTAATTAATTTATTGAAGCTTAATCAAATATGTGTTAATTAAAGTTTTTTTTAATAATTAAAGACTTATTAAATTAATTAGTTGATTGGATTAGTTGATTTAACAGTATCCTCTAGTAATTTACATACACGTATCAATTACTGCGTTTCATTTCCTTATGTGGTAATATATTGTTTACTATAAGATTTTTTTACAACTTTGTTTGTGTTTTTTTTTGTAATACTTTTATAAATTTCATTCTTAACTTTTTCATGCATCTAATGTAAATTGTTTAACCGCTTTCGCTCTATCCAGATGTACTTTTTATATCCAAGTAGTCGCCTATCCAGATGTTTGTCTAGATATTTTATATTATTCGACAGATATAAATTACCCTCATTCTTCCTCATCATAAATGTGAGATGAAATCCACTCATTTAACGCACCATTTCCTCATTAAGTGTACCAATTGGTTCAAACATATTTCGTTATTTTCAATACAATCTTTGAATTGTTAAGAAAAATATCAGCTGCAAACATAGAAACTATTGTCTGTTTCGATGTCAGTATAGTTCATTTCTATATAATTTAAAGAATAGGTGAATAGAATGACCTAAATCCTGAAGTGCTAATTTTCCAAATCCAAAGTAGTTTTTTCAAACTGATAGATTTCTACATCTTATATTGTCAAAATTAACGTTATAATAGATTTTTAGTATTTTTAATTTAAATTTTATATTATTCGACAGATATAAATTAGCCTCATTCTCCCTCATCGTAAATGTGAGATGAAAACCATTTAACGCATGTTTTCTAATTAAGTGTACTAAATGGTTCAAACATTTTCGTTATTTTTGATGCAATCTTTGAATTGTTAAGAAATATATCAGCTGCAAACATAGAAACTATTGTTTGTTTCGATGTCAGTATAGTTTATTTATATATAATTTAAAGAATAGGTCAAAATGACCTAAATCCTGAAGTGCTAATTTTGCAAATTCAAAGTAGTTTTTTTTTGTCAGACTGATAGATTTCTACATATTGTCAAAATTAACGTTATAATAGATTGTTAGTATTTTTAATTTAAATTTTATATTATTCGACAGATATAAATTAGCCTCATTATCCCTCATCGTAAATGTGAGATGAAATCCATTTAACGCATGTTTTCTAATTAAGTGTCCTAAATGGTTCAAACATTTTCGTTATTTTTGATACAATCTTTGAATTTTTAAGAAATATATCAGCTGCAAACATAGAAACTATTGTCTGTTTTGATGTCAGTACAGTTAATTTGTATACAATTTATAGGATAGGTCAAAATGACCTAAATCCTGAAGTGCTTATTTTGCAAATCTAAAGTAGTTTTTTTGTCAGACTGATAGATTTCAACATATTGTCAAAATTAACGTTGCAACAGATTGTTAGTATTTTGAATTGGAAATTTGTAAACTTCGGATTGATTAATTGTAAATATTGAATAGGATAGTTTACAAGTTGCGTCTTCCAAATAAACACAGGTGATTGCACGTGAAACAATTCGGCCGTACAAATAATCCTGTCCTGTCTGAACCGACGGTTCTAAAAGCATAGCCGTATATTATTAATTGCCTTTCCGACAATAAACAAACACCGTCGGTTTGTTTATTGTTGGTTTTACTTTGCTTTACGTGTCTCTCTTCCACATGGTGACGGTAATGACAGTGGGTGAAAGTCAAGGATCTTCCGATTCCTTTCCCGAACGTCCCATAAAGGAGAACAATTTCCAAATGAATGTGTGCGCTTCTCTATTTTTTTTTTCGTATTATTCTATACGTGCCTTGAAGGAAGAAACCGACGTTATGTCATACGGAATTTCTCTTTCTCTCCACCTT